TGCTGTTAGCAGGAGACAACTCTTTCAGGACGTAAAAGCCCTGGGAGGTCTCCAGGAGAGTGGCTCTGGTGGAAGGTCCTGCACAGCATGGTATCACGGCAATCCTTGTGCCAGCCCAAGGGCGTGTGGTGAGCAACACTCATTTCTGATGGAGAGAACACGTGTCCTGCAGGCTGAGGTGATCAACAGCCTCCTGCACAAGGAGAGCAGAGAGATGTCTGCAGCCTTTAGTAGCTCCTGCTGCCTGAAACCCATCAGTGAGCTGCAGGGAGCTGGGGGTGGGTGCGGGGGAGCACTCAGAATGCTCTGCAGTGAACACAGGGCTCAGTACCCTGTTTCTTTCCAGTTTTTCTTTTCCAGTGTTTCTTTCCCATTTTCCCCAGGTGCCAGGAGAACCCATGACTGAGGGTGTCACTGGGTCCAAGGGCCACTTCTGGATCCTCTCACAAGTGGCAGATGGTGCCCTGGCTCTAGGCTGGCAATGTCTGAGGCCCTCAGCTGCAGCCCAAGCCTGCTGCCCTTGGCCCTGAGAGACACGACTCCCAGGACTGGCCTGGGCCAGTCCTGAGCTCATCTGAGGAGGATACCCATTACCTGATCCCTTTGCCATGCTCAGCACCAGAGCCTAGAGCTTCTGCAATCTGCAGCTCCTGACCTCTGCTGCCAGTGCCACCAGCAAAGACTGCCCCCTTCACCTGGTCCCCAGATCACACGGAGCCGCTTACCAAGCATGTTTGGTTGCTCTAGTCGAACACTGATTAGACTATTTCCTCCTTTTCCTAATACCAGATTTACTATATGGCCCTTGGAAAGACTTTTCTTTGCAGGGGATGCTTTGACATGGGCCAGTGAATTCCTGCTTGGCTAAGCGATACTTCTGGCCTTTCCCTTCTCCAAGACCCAGTTAGGACCTGCTCTCTTTTCATCTGCATCTCTGCCCTGACAGTGGGATAGCTGCAGCACTTGGGGAATGTCTGGGCCAAAAGCAAAATCCCTGGAGGGCTGATTTTTATTCCCAAAGCTTTTCTTACCTACAGCTACAGAGGTGATTGTGGTTAAGTGGATAAATATACTAAAAATAGAAGACGAAGAGAAGAGAGCTTCATGATGTACTTCTTGGAAGAGAAGTGAGCATCTGGAGAGCCTGTTTTATACCCTCCAGATGGACTGCCAGATTGCAACTCTGTCCCACAGATACAACCTGATAGACCAGGGTTTCCACTGCAGAACATCACCCCAAGGCAGGTTAAAGCAGCTGCCTCCTGTCACTAGGGATTGTGAACTGTCTGTATATGCCTCAGCTCAGCCTGTAAATGCCTCAGCTCAGCCAAAATACTTCAGGACTCCTCAGACACAGAGGCACCTGACAGCAGAAGCACCATGCCTCCCACAGTCACTGCACATGCAGTCCCACCGTGTGCGTCTGTGCCTAAAGGAGGCTGGCTGGGGCAGGGAGAAATATTTGGAACCACTTGAGAAGGTTTTCCCTGTGTAAGATGGTGGTCTCCTGTCATTAAAAGAGTGGGCATTTGACCTCTTTCATCCTTCATCTGCTTTAGTTCAGTTGAACAGTGAGCACGAAAAACGTTTGGTGCCAGTGGTTACACATGGTGTATCCTCAGTGTATCCTCACCCTCTTACCTTGGCTGTGATTGAATCCTTGTTTTCTTGCAAGTTAGAGATAGCTTCAGCGATCCTCATGTGAATGGTCCCTATTACGGTGTCTACGTTGTACGTGCCATCAATCCGATCAGCTACTACGACCAGGGAGTCTAGAAAAACCAGACAGAGACACCTCTCATCAGACTCTGCACAAACTGCCTTAAAGCTCATGCTCACGCCGGGTGGGATAAGCTGGTGGCCTCTCCGCAGGCTTGTTGGGAGACACCTCTCTGTCCTCATCACTGCTCAAGTGCATGCTCATACTCCTCTGGGATAGGAGAGCTGTCCCTTCCCAGCATGCAGGTAAAGCCTCAGCAGCAGAGGAACAGAGGTCACCCTCCTGCAAAGGGTGAATGCAACTTGTACGCACACAAAGCGACCAACACTTCCTGGGGTGCTACAGGAAGGAAAAATGGAAAATTGGTGCAGAAATATTAAGTAATGTGTAGTAATATGTGGCCCTAACCCTCCTAGCTCATTACATGTCTTCAGCAAAGCACTGCAGCCTGCAGGCAGTGGGAGAATTTGGGTCAATAAAGTGCCAAACGTACTGGATGTGGGTAATAGCTTTTGTGGCAGCGGAGGAGTGAGAAAAGGAGAAAATTCTTCTCGTCATCACCTCTGGAAGGACAACACATGACCAGCCAGGGCAATATCAGGCTATAAAGGTAGAGAAATGGCCCAAAAAGCCAACAACTAAACTGGTAAACAAGACAGGGAGTGACTGAGGGGTGCCTCTTGCTCTCAGCTCCTCTTACCTTGGCAAGCTCTGATGCCCAGGCGCTCCTGCCTGGCCTGCAAGCTCCTGCCTGGATGGCTGCTTTGGGACTGTGCTTGGTTTACCAAAAAATTACCACCCTCTGCCAACCTCCAGAGATGATTCTCAACACTCCAGGTGGCCTTGAAGCGAGGACAGCTGATATGCTCGCAGGGCTCGGGGCACTGGGGAATGCCACTGCAGCAGAAAGCTGGCATCCTCAGTGTCCAGGGAGATTTACACGGGATCTGGCTTTGACAATCAAAAGGTGTAATTCTGAAAGTCACTGCTGTGCTGCTGCTGCCCCAGTTCCCTACCACTCGTGCTTTAGTAGTCCAGAGTCCAGGCCATGCATACGCTTCAGCAGCATTTAGGGACTTGGCATTTGGTCACGTGTGGCCTCAGTTGGCTCCAGTGTGGTGTGTGTCGCCCTGGGTACAGGGGACACCCCCTCCTGTCTCCTGGCAGGACAAGGGATCTGTCAGAGTCCTGGGGCGGCTCATGCTCATCTGGAATTGAAAGTGCTCCATGCTCCTGTGGCCTTGCCACATGGAGAAAAAGAAGTGCGATGGCTTCGTATTTCTTCTTCTCTACACAAAGAGGGTCAAATCCGAGGGTCTAGGTTGGGGATCTGTACCTTTCGTAAATGAAGTTATTCATTAGGAGTGATTAATTCTTCTGTCCTAAATCCTGATACCTCACCCATCAGCCTGGCAGGGGGCTGTCACAGCAGATGGTGTGATGTTGCAGAAAAGCTTATTCAGCATGGGTTTGTACCACTGACCTTGCTCAGGAGCAGCAAAGCCACCAGATGAACTGCACCCAGCAGTTCCACAGAGTATCAGTACAATGTGTCCTTCAACCTACACCATCCCACAGCATGTGTGTGTCACCCGTGATATCGCTTTAAAGGACTGACGCTCATCTGTGAGCCGCACAGACTGCCTTCAAGCAGGAGTCCAGTCCAGCACAACCATGGAGCTCTGCCACTTCAGTCATGCCAGGAAAGGGCTCAGCCCTTGCCTGGGCAAGCCAGCAGGACTCGGCAGAAAGATCCCAAACGATTTCCATGAGGTCTAGGTGAGGTCTGGGCAGAAACACCAGGTCCACAGTGGATGTGGTGTGTAAATAACGAGGGCCTGATCCTGAGCCTGTGGTTGTCAATTTATCAGCAGGCTCAACGCTCGCAAGTATGGCCTCTGTGCTGTTTTGTGATTGATGTTCAGACCCTGACAGCTCCCAGAGAATACCAAACCAGGCAAGGACCGGACGAGGGACAGCACAAAGCCACAGGAGATACCAGATCAGGCTCACAGTCAAAAAGCAGGTACAGCCTGCGGGGAGCAAGGGCAGTAATCAAACAGCTGGGAGGGCTCAAACCTCAGCCAGTCTGCAGCATGGATCACAAAATACTTTTCGCACAGGTCTGTAAGACAGGATTTAACCACATGCAAGGTCACAGCTTGGAAACATTATGTACTTATTTCCAGCATTTAAAAAAAAAGAAAAAAGGTTTGGCTGGTTAGCTTGAGCAAGAATGGAAGAGTGCCACAGTTCCCAAGTTAATGCACTTCCTTTTCCTGCAACACAGTCCTATGGCAGCACGGATTTCCATAGCTAAACGTGCCATACAAGAGGGTAACTTTTTCTGTATTCTGGGAAATAACATCTCCTGCAACATTAAAGAGCTTGCAGTTTAACTTTCCTGCCACTCAGGGGTTGCGGTATCATCTTTGAGACTGTATTTTCCAGACAACTTTAGCTTGCAGACGCACTAATGTTGAGATACAAGCATTTAAACCAAAGGCAGCACCCCCAAATTAGTGATGAATCGTGTTTGAACCACTTACTATAAAAATCTCCCTTAATTTGACCTGCCCTAATTTGTCAAATTGAAAGCATAACTCTGTGCTTAGTGTGAGAAAACCCTCTCCTGCTACAGTGAAGGGCCTGGCGAAGGGTGAAGAATGGACCATGCCAGTGAACTGCTACCTCTGACTCCACATCTCGCTCCAGTCCTTGATCAAACTGTGACCTCTGACACTAAAATGTACAACTGCAATTTGAAATAAGCACCGATCTCCTCCTAGTCATCACCCCTTGACAAGAACGGTGTCTCTTGAGGAAGAGGACACCAGAATAAGTACAAAATGCAGTCGGAATTGCCTCCCTGTCAATCAAGGAGAACTGTACATTGACCTTTGAGGAGACGGGCAGTCATCCTGCCAGGAGCGCAGTGACAGGTAACAGTTGGCTTGCTCTGGTCAGAAAGGCCAAAGCGCCATCAAAATCCTGATGCAAACCCTTGGGGAAGGGAATATTCCTCCCTCTCTTTCATGGGGCCTCCCAGGCTGCTCTCATGGGGAGCACTTCCAATTAGCTTCAGCAAGTTGCCACTTGGTTCGTTAGCCCCCAGAGTGAGGCAGGCAGCTGGCCAACGCTCCTCACCGAGCAAGTGCGCTAGCCTCTGTGCAGTGGTTCGATACTTTCTTTGCAGCGTCCCATGAGAGGCAGACAACACTCCCTGAACTTGAGCGGGACTGTCATTGTTAACACCACCACACGTCAGCCCTGAGCCAGGCTGTTGGGCTGCAGACGGCCAGTGAGCTGGCAGACTCGCTGGCCAGGGAGCGGGTGCCAAGGCAAGGGAAAAGGCCAAGCCCAAAGCCCATCTCCCCTGGTGCCTGCCTGTCATGAGCCCAGACAAACACCCGGACTCCCTCAGGTCTGAGATCACTCCAGGTCTAAATGTACAAAAGGGGAGCCTGCTGGGTGACGCTCTGTGGACACAAAGAGAGGTGAGAGCTTTACCACTGCAAACTACCTCCCCGAAGAACTGCAGCCGGGGAGAGGGTGTGAACTGTAACACAAACACTCCGTTTTCTAAACGCAGACCCTCACCTGCCTTAAACCATGTCCACCAGCTCCACAAGCTGCCTGCAGCAGCAGTTCACATTTAAACCAGGAGCCGCAGACTCCAGAAAAACAGCTGAGGGACACAAGGTCTTCTTAAAAGAGATGCTCAGGTCTGATGGGGCAATGCAGAACACCCTGCAGAAGTGCCTGGTTGAAGGTCTCCAGCCTGTGTGGCACAGGAGATCACACCACACCATCACAGTGATATTTTGGGCTTTAAACTCAATGAAATGTACATCCCTGTACACACACAACCCACTTCAAGAGACCCATCATCTGAGCTGAGTGACAAAACCAAAATGGAATGAGCTCTTTCCTTATTTAAAATACAAGTCCAATTTTCCCATTCCTGGTACTGCCTGCGGCTTCTCTTGTCCCCTGTATTTGTTTAAGGCCCCTCTTTCCATTTAGAAGTACATGATTCTGATCCCTTTTCTCTCCACCCATGGAAACAGTTTATGGCTTCATGTTTCTAGACCACCTCCCAAGGAGGGCAGCAAGCACTTCTCCTGTGCTCTCACAAGTGCGCTGGTGTGGATGAGGAGGGTGCTCTGACCGCGTACAGGTGGCAGGATCCCTCCCTAAGCTTCAACACTTGGGAGGGAAGAATTACTTGAATGTGAAGTGTGGGCAATCCCAAACAAACACAGGCAGGGTGAAAATTCTTGAAGACCTTGTTAGCCAGCCAGCAGTGTCCTTTCTAACAGTATGAAAGCCTGCAATTGCTTCTAGGTGTCAGATCACGGACAGAGAAACCGTAGTGTAAAAAAGCCTCCAACAGTCCTTTCTTTACTCTCCAAACACTGCCCCAGGGAGTTGAAAAGGTGCTGTGAGGGGCAGCTGTGCTGCAGCAGAGTGAGTCCATCTTACCCATCAGGTACTTCCACTCGGTGTTGAGGTCCGCTTGGTTGGCCAGGCAGCCCTTCACGACGTTCAGGCAGTAGTTGTTGCAGGGCTTCACGCTGGACATGCCCCGGCAGTGTGGGCAGTACATCAGCTTCATGATGGCGCGAGTGCACTCGTGGCTGAGAGATACCTGGGGGACACAGATCAGAGTCAGGCACACAGGCAGGCAAGGGGGGCCCAGCCCCATGAGAAAACTCCCCCCTTCCCTGGGGTGAAGGAGCTTGGCGAGATCTGGAAGGCAGCATGGCTCCCTAGGTGCGTGCGTGGCCCTGGGAAAGTTGCTTCCCCTCTCACTTCCTGTCCTTCCCCCCACCTTTGGTGCCACCCCTGTTGTGGGGATGGGACCTCCAAGGCAGCTACTGTTTCCTTGGGCTGGGTTTGAACGCAGGGGACTGGGAAAACCCGTATGTGAGCACCATCCCCCTTCCAGCCAGCTCTGCCTGGGCCGTCTCTACAGCACAAGCTGTAACTGTGACCCTGACACATCACATGTGTGCCCCTGGAGCGCCTGCCATCAGTGCCACCACCATGCCCTTTCTGCAGCAGGGTTTGTTGTCACTGCCCGGCAGACGCAGGTGTCCCACCACAAACTGCATCTCCGGCTTCCTGGAGGGACGCACAGTGGGGGCCTGGACAGGGAAAGTTACCAGCTGGCATCTTTGGAAAGGAGGACAGCGATGGGGGAAGACTTGAACAATTCCAAGAGCACAGGTGATTGAGAGCACTCGACACAGGGAAGCGATTGCTCTCTGACAGCACTTCAGGAGCCACAGGCAGCGGGCGAAGCGGCCATCCCACGCTGTGCCGGTGGCCTGCAGGCACTGCACGTGCAGCCGCTGCCTGGCAGCGGCGACTCTGGAGGTGGCTTTGCCACCTTTAATCAAACCACCCTGGCCCCATAAGCGCAGAGCCAGCCCAGGTGCAGAGCCCACAGAGCCGGGTGGCAGCCGCTGCAGCACATCAAGGTCCCCCCAGACTGTCAGCCATGGGACAGCCGTCCCTCTCCGACTGCCGCGGGCCGGGGGCTGTCAGCGTAAGCCGAGGGATGAGGAACAACCTCACCGACCCTGCAGAGGTGCTGGCAGAGCTCAGCGCTCCCCTGCCTTACTGCGGAAGTGTGCTCTCCTCTGTGCTCTTTTTCCATGTTTGCTCGGATCCATTTGTAATTCCCCTGTCATTCTTTTAAAAGCGTTTACAAAAACAACTGTGTCTGTGTGCGAGTCTGCCCCGGTACCAGGTATTTGGCACTCAGGAGGAGCCCAAAAGGGGGAAAAAGGATGGAGGGGGCAAATCTCAACATGGAAAAATCCCTGAGGCTCAAGCTGTAAGGCTGAGAACTGCCCCTGACCGCTCTATGACTTGTGAACAATACTTTGTACAGGGTCTTTTAGGGTTCTTCTGGGGGACTGCAGACAGACTGAGCTCTGAGGTGCCCTCAGGAGAGTGAGCCCGCGGTCAGAGCCTGAGAGAACCTCCCTGAGCTTCCCCCTCCTT